CAAAGTGTGCATTTGCCACTATTTTTCACAATCTAACATATTTTTTTGTTAAAAGATCGAGTCATAAATTCTTTTGTCTATTAAACCTAACAAATTTTAAAAAAAGAAATAAAATATTAATTTGCCTGAGTTTTAATTTGTGATATTTTCTTCATCCAGCTGTTTAAAATCTATATAATTTTTTAGGTTATTTGCAATTTTTCACCTGACAAAATAGGAAAAATTAATGATGTAGAAGTATCAAATGGGATACATTTAGCATCAATCCGCCTCATCTGTTGTTTTTGAGTCTTAAGGAGTTTTGAAGACTGGACGTTTTGCAATGTGATCATTAAAAAAATGTTTTAGTGAAAGTTCGACATAGATTTCTGAGTTTATGAGGTGAACCTGAATACATTTTCTGTTTTTCACAATCAAACAAAGGTCGGCATTCAAAAAGTGACGTAGAAGCATTTTTAGGTGGAGATAATATGACCACACCTCTCAAGTATAGATGGTGTGACGTAACTGGAAGATAAAAGACAGCTGGGGTAGTTATCTGTGCATTTGTGATGCATCACTGCAAACGTAAGACAAACATGCATTCGTATATTAATGAGAAAAGTCATCTGCATGTGGCCACGCCTCCAACGGACCCAAAAGAAAAAATCATGCCTGAAATTTCACATTATTTTCAGAGCACGTCAAGCAGCATCTTAAAATGAACAAGAATTTAAAAAAGCAGAAGCATGGTTTGAGTAGATTTCTCTCCAACACCACCACTGTTACAGCCCACAGCAAACAGGAGAACTAAAGGCCAATAAATGGTGCTCGAAACAAAGGAATAAACCAGAAATAGCTATAATCTTCGGTCTTCAACTCACCTGCCTTACCTAACCAAAAACATTTGTGAGCTGAGATTATGAAGTCATTTCAAATAAAACCCATGTTTTATTTGAGCTATCCATATTATGTTGGGTCTTATGAGCCAGGTGGTAACACAAACGGTGGGAAAATATATCCCTGGCCCCAGTCTCCTGAAACTAGTAGACAAATTAGTAAATCGATTGCCTCAAGACCAATTAGATGTGTGCACGGTTAACTGCACTCAGTCAAAGTAGCATCACAAGACACACAAGGTACAGTGAAACTAGTGAACGCTGACGGCGCTCACAGCACCAAAAGTGATGGCAGCAGGCTGCTCACACTGAATCAGATTCACTCTGACTGCTGAGCTGCTTCTTTTCATTTGGCAGAAACGGCAGTGAGGAGGAGACGTCAGGAGGGGCAAACAGAGGCTCCAATCCTGGGTGGAGGTTTTAACCTACTGGTTAACACAATGAAACCAAGAAAAGGTGAATTTCTCCCAATAGATGCAAACTTTATTATTCGCACTCTGGGGAAATTCACATGTACAAATGTTTTAAAAATCATTCGATCTTTTACACACTTAGAGAAAAACCAAAACTGTCATCTTTTAAAAAAGAAGAACCTTTGATACCGTTGCCATCGGGAAATTTTTAATAGTAAATCTGTATGCAGACATACATTGCACATATGTGTGGCCGATAAAATCAATGAATGAACAATCATTTGTTTGCTTGTGTGCTTTTGGTTTGCATCTTCCACATTTTATCTAAAGTCTGTCACGCAGTCCACTGATTGACTTATCGGACGGTGCGGTCAGAAGGTCATGACCCTTAAAAAACACTAGAGCTACATTAGAGGAAGTTGTGCAGCTAAACTTAACATTTTTACTGCTTTATCAATTCATAAATTTCACATCAGGACACATGTGGCTTCTTTAGATGCTTTTTTTCTCCCCTTTGGCTACCGCAGCAATCCTTTGTCATTAAAATCTGAGTAATCACATCTTTCATCTCTTGTGAAGTTAATTTGTCATGTGTCACATTGGTATGAAATTCATGCCTTGACTGCTTCGGCTTTATTCCCGTGTCTTCCTGAACATGCCCGGCTGAAGCAGCTGCTGCTGCTTTTGCCCTCTGGGCACAAAAATACATGAAATTCCTCGTGACGTTGGGGAAAATCAGACACGGTGCAGCTTCATTATCTAAAGCATCACATGGTTCACGGTTAGGTCAATCAGAAGAACTGACATCATGGAAAATGTCAGAGCTGACGGTGAGAAGGAGAGTTTTCATGAAAACGTTTTCTAAAGTTTGAACTCTTTAAGTTCATGTTTCTCCTACGTTAGGACATTAGGGGAAATTAGGGGCCTAAAAGCAGTGGAAAGACCCAAACTTAATTTTATTGCTGGTTATCTGAGGATGATAATGGTGTCATTCTTAAGGCAGGAAATAAGCACTGTTGCATCAGCATGCTAATGTGAGGGCTGGTTGTTCCTTTATTGGATTTGTGTAGGATGCTTCTTAATGACTGGATGTGGAGATGAAAGGAGAATAAACAGGAAGAAATTCCACGAATGTCGCCGGGAACAGTATCAGCGTGACCATATGAATTATATCCCTCTTACAACTATTTCTACTGTGTCATAGAACAATTTCACGCAAATGTACTCATTAGCAGAGGAAGTCAGTAAAACAAAGCACAATGTGGACAAAGCCAGTGGTTTGTCAAGTTAGATTATGACCTGGCGTCCTCTAGGTGACCCCAAATCGGTAGTTTGGCTTTAAAGATTCTCGGATGTTTGCTGCATTATCCACGTATGTTCAGTTAACATTCACAATAAAAATAGGTTAATAAAACATTTCCTGAAGCATAAAAAGGTCCTCATTTGATCCCAGCATCATGTGAAGCACTCACTGGAAGTAATAGATTAGATTTTTAGTTGGCTGCTATCTCAGTTTATGCATGTTAAAGCAGCTTTTGCAGGTATTCTGCTGGTCTGGAGAAGGGGCACCTTGACTCGAGCATTAATCCTTTCAAAAGAAATGCAGACTTAAAGTATTTTTGGCAGTTAGAGAAGAGATGGAGACCCGAATCAGGTGATAAAGAATAAACCTTCTGTTTATGAGTTCTAGTCCTGAACTTTTAAAGGAAAATTCAGACACCTTGATTGGACTGATTTATCCCTGAAGTATGGAGTGCGTACGGCTTATTAACCCCTACGCCAGTGTGTTGTGGGCTTTGTGACAACTATACATTATTACTGAAAGATGGCAAGAGTTTTAGAAAATAGTCACATGAAGGAACAGATGGGCATGTGGATAAAAAGGAGAAGTGAGACGTCTCCTGGCTTCTCCACCCACCTCACAAACTCTGCCATTCTCTAAAAAACAGTAGTTCTGTCTCAGCTGTCAACACATAAGACGTCTTTTTCGTAACGATGAGACACGTTACAGCGGCACTGTGTGACACTCCTGGATGAGAATGCATTTTTTTTTCTGTATTCGCAGTTGCAGCTTGGCACATGAAAGATGGCCCATCACCTAAAGAAAAGCGGAAAATAGTGAGTAGAGATTATTGTGCAAGCGACCTCAACTGGACTGTGTCATCTGTGGGGAGACGCTTGGCAGCAGCTAGTTTTCGCGCCAACGGTGACGTCACAACCGCAGTTGCACGCCATGTTTTAGTGTTGCTTCAGCTAATCCTCCACCTGAACACAACCTGGTAATCAGTCAAGGGAGGAGATGGAAGGCAGTTAAGGTAGAGGTGTTACGACAGATCTGTTGGTGGGCATCGCAGTAAACGCTGTAAACTGGTGATCGTACATGAGACACAAACGTCTAATTGGGGGCTTTTAGCTGAATAAGGTTGCACGTATGAACTGCAAAAGAAGAGAAAATAAACTTTAATCAAAGTGAATCCAGGCTGATCGCAGCAGACCCTTGTGCTTAATATTCACACAAGATAGATGCGGTTTGAGATGTCACCTTAAGGAGAGATGCTACAGTTTATCCACACAAATCTCTATCAGTGCAAAATTATTTTCAAAGGACAGCTCAAATTAATATCTCAGCCTGCGCCGGCCGACTTTGAGTAACGACGCTGAGCTGTCGAGTAACGTGGAAATAAATGTGGATCAGCAGGCAGATTAATGATAGAAAATCCCACCCGACATCAAAATACGCATTCATGCATTATTCATGTGCTCCAGTCCACACTGGAATATACAACCGCGATCACTACCATATACACTGATGATCACTTTCATTAGATGTAGCTCTGGTGTCATATCTCACCATGGTTTTTCCTTTTGGTTTAAATCACTCAGCTAAGGTTTCACTGAACACCTCATGTTTCCTGTATGTGTCAGATAGGGATGTTTGGTTTTGTTTTATTATGATGATTTTTTTCTTTTTTAAAGTACTGCTCCAAAATGAGACAATCCAAGGTTTCATGAAGGACTATCGCTGCTTGAGTCTGAACACGCCTGCTTCACCCCCTCTTTGTCCTTGCTCGTTCTGAGATTGGGGGGGGGAAAAAACCCGGGTGACCATTCATTCTGCTCCTGCACCTGTTTAGTGGCGCGTCTTTCCCGTTTTACGTCTTGAATTTACAACCTTCAGCTGGAGGGACGACCTTTCACTCGGCCTCTGTGGCAGAGAGGCAGCAGCTGTGGTGACTTCACTGGCTCCTCGTGTAAAGAAAAAAAGATGCTCAAGGCGGGTGCTGGGGGTTCTCTTCTTACACCTTGAACTTCATAGCAGCTCGATATGACACACACTGCCTCCATCAGCTGTTAGTATCTATCTGATTGAGCTGATTTCAAAGATATGAAAAAGGCGCATTCATTCCTCCCTGTGGTCTCATTTGTACCCATTCATAAGAGTCAAAGAGAGGCAGGAAGAGCTAAGTGAAATGCCCACAGTTTTTCATATGTGTGGTCCCCCTTTTCTTTTCTTTTTTTCTGTGAGAAGGGAAACATTAGCAACGCTGACTCATTACAAAGAGCAGCTGAAAAGTCCGAGCGAATTTATTTCTGGTTTGGCAGAGAAAGGATAGTGTAGCACACTTCCACTGAAATTACAGCGTCACAGTGTGAGATGAAGCCTCTGCTTTGTGAAAGGGTGATATTTTTTTTTCTTTTTTCTTTTTAGGAAGCGCTCTCTCAGCCCGCTGGCTTTCCTCTGGAGCAGCTGTCGGTCAGCGTCAGTTGGTGAATCTCGGAAACACAGATCGCTAATGAGGCTGGAGCTCTCGAGGACTGCCTGGCCCTGAACTCAGCGTCACTTAGCACTGTGTGATGCTGAGGATCCCCTGTTGCACTCGGGGAGGCTTATGCATCTGAAACGTGAATATTATATACGTCACGTCGAATCAGGAGACGAGTGCTCTCGTCTGGCTTTGAGATCTCGCTGTGCTCGGGGTGGTCCTGCAAACCCAGGAAAGTCCAGGTCAGACCTTTCACCTCCCCCGGTGCCCTCCTGTTTCGCAGCTCCGCTCAAGAGGTTTTTGGGTAATGAGCTTGTTGTCGGTGATGGATAGGTCGCAGATCGCGCTGGCATCGGCACTCCTTTACATTCCTGTCGGTTCAAGTTACAACAGAGACATTAAGCAGCTGGAGTGGGATGAGTTTTAAGGGGCAGACGTTTTGTTCGGGTAGTATGAAGCAGATGAACTTAGGTGAATGCGAGGGAAGAAAATTCAATTGCCTTTGATTTGTCTGTGATTTTTCGTTTTAATTAACTGTGTAGCCAAGTATATATGCAAAATAAGAAAATCAACATAAATCAACATAAATCCGAGTTACTGACAACCAATTTGTGAAGTGTGTTAGAATCTGAATATCCTCCAGTGAGATGGGCGAGATCCAAGCAGCTGTGTAGGTGGATAAACATGAGTAGCTGTTCCTATTGAGACAAATGAAGACATGAGTCAAAACAGAGGCAAATTCATAATCCGTAATTATGGAAAGATTAAGGATTAAAACACAACTTCAGACTCTGACTGGGCCAGAATCACCTCAGAATTAAAGCTGTTTGTCACCAAATGTTGGCTGTGATACAGTTTTGTTGTTTACTATCTTTAAATGTAGCAAAGAAGAAGCAATTTACATGATTTTTTATGTATTTTCTTTTATGTAGGTATGCAGTACTGTGCAAATGTTTTGAGACACCTCTTATTTCTTGATGTGTTGTTTGGAAAATGGGAAATTGGAGCCGCAATTTATTGAAGCATCTGCAAATACAGGATATCAGGCAGAGTTTGTACAGTTCTGATGAACTCAAAAGTCTTTTTGTAAGACCACCTTTGTTCTCTTAGGAGAACTTTCTTGTAACTTCTTTAAATAGTGTTTAGAAATAGTTCTCCAGGTTTCTTGAAGGACATTCAAAGCTCTTTTTGCTCTGTTCTCTGTCACGGTGATCCCACACTGCGGTAGAAGAAACACACTTCTTCTACCTATGTATGCTTTTACCGAATTGGCACTGTGTTTGCGATCAGTGTTGTTGCATGGGATCTCAAAATGTCAGAATTAGTGGAATTAGAGAAAACTACCATCACAAGTTCTCCGACACCACTGCCTTAAATGCAGCTCCAAACCATAAGAGAGCCTCCACCATACTGGCGACAATTTCAATTTTTCAAAGTTGGATTCATCAGTCCATAATACCTGTTGCCACTGATTTTGAGCTCCCTGTTCTTAAGAATAGGTTCTTGACAGCCACCCTTCCACTAAGACCGTTTCTGATAATGTTTTGATGGTTAGGGTGGATGAAAGAAAAACTCTGAGGGAACCTCAGAAAGTCTGTAGAACTATAATAACAACAGAAAGAATAACACAGAGAAGAAGAAAGAAAGTCTGGCTTCTTGGAAGGAAAATATAAAATGAGAACTGGCTTAAGGATTTTGCACAGTACAGTAGAATTGATGCTTTTTTTGTTTTTAATAGAGATCGGATCTCATAGTCTTTATTTTAGAAACAGGCTGGAAAAAAGAATGTCTGCTATTTCTCTGAGCACCATAAGGACTCGTAGCATCAGAAAGATTATAATGAAGAGACACGGCACTAAAACAGTCCTTAACAGAAAACTATGGGAGAGTTGCATAATGTCTCTTTGAGGTGTCCTCGCCCAAAAGAGACAATCAGCAGAGGAACACATAATGTTGCTGCGCTGACAGATGTCTGCTGAGTGACACGACTCTTCTGCACGCAATGATTCTTAATTGTTAGACTGAGATCTTTTCTAGCTTTTGTAAATCCTTTAAAAGCAGAGTCACAAGGTAAAGAAATGATCTCTGACATGGCGACAAAGAAATCAATTGTAGCGAGTCCTAGTCTGAAGAGTAAGTTACCTAGCTTATGGCATCACGCAACCAAACGTAAGCCTCCTTAATGGCTTAAAATTTGATTATAGAGAATTAATCTATCTTCTAAACGACCTTCATTTATACATGAAAGATGAAAATAACACACACAAGTAAAACCTTCTAATAGCTTTCTGCTAATTAGTTTATTTATTTAATTAGAGAAGCAGTGCGCATATTGGAAGAACATATTGGAATTCCATTGCACGGTGAGGCTGGAAGCTTGTGAATGAATGAATGTTCGCCCTTTTAAAAGATCAGTTTGATTTGACAGCTAATGTGCAGCTTGTAGCGCTGACTAGTCCATCCATCCATCGGGCTAACACAGAGAGACAGACAGCACAATTTAGAATTGCAAATTGTACGGCACTTTCATTTATGCTCTGAGGCAATTTATACTTTATAAGCCACGTATAAGACTGAGGTAAACGTCTTTGTACTGTGGGAGGAAGCTGGAGTTCCCGGAGGGAACCCACACAAACACAGGGAGAACATGCAAACTCCACACATATGGTGGAGTCAAACTCAGGACCTTGTTGCTGTGAGGCAGCAGTGCTAACCACTGCGCCACCGTTGCTGCCCCTGCTGAGAATTCATAGCGCAGAATTTGACTTTTGGTGGATCTCAGCCAACTAGTTCTCTATGTGACCTATTGTAGACGTGACTCCCTTCCAGCGCCACTGTTATCAAATGACTGACCTGGTTTATTCAACATCAGATGAATGGGATTTCCCGCAGTGCAACAAAGTCACTGTGGGAAATGTCATTCAGGCTGCATGTCTCAGTGTTATACCTGCGGTTAGTTTGCTGCTTATAAAGTATAAATAGCCTCAGAGCATAAATGAAAGTGCCGTACACCATCAGAGCCAGATATGAGCTCGCAGCGCCAGCCTCTCCATAATGCTTACTATAAAGGTACATATGACACTCTGCTGGTGGGATCACTCAGCTGCACTCAGATACCAAACTGCAAATAGGGGTGAGATCACGTGAAGAGGCAGTGGGGCACGGTGCCAGCCGGGTCGTGTTGGTTACAACCTCGCCCACATTCCTTTTAACACTCAGTCACCCGCTGGAAATACATTTTCACTGACACGTGGCTTTCCTGCTTTAGCAACCGCTCAGCTGCCTGGGGAGCCAACCACTGTGTGAACCGTGTAACGCTTCTATAACAGGGCAATGATGGAAGCACCAAATATGTCAGCGTGACAAGATCCTCTGTTATTTAAGTGCTTTTAAGGCATAGCTATAAGTTTAATCTGATGTCACCACACATTCACTGGCTTATCATTTCAGATAAAACTAAAAAGATAAGGGGAAAATGCAACCTAGAGTTTGTGTGCATCTTTTTTGATTTCCTTTCTGCTTATTAAAAAAAAAAAAAAAACTAATTTGGCGGGTGTCTGTGGGCTGTAGTGATGAAAGTGGTTAGGCAGGTTAGAGCCAGACCTTTGATGATTACACCAGTGTTGTGCCGCGTTGACGTCTAACACCAACCAATCATGTGGTGGTGTCGGTTTTATTATTTTAAGGTTTTCTGATGTGTGAGACATATTTACACCAGTTGTTTTCGTGAAACACCCTCTATGGACAAGCAAGACCGTTTATTGTTAGTTTTTCCATTCGAAAGACAAAAGGTGATGTCCCAGACTGTTGTTGTTGGAGGTTTGTTTTTCTTTTAAGCAACCTACTCAAGCTTAAGGTGACTCAACGCCTTCATCATGTGATTGGCAGATTTAGATTCCTGAGTAAATGCCCCATCAGGGGCAGTGACAGGAAGTGGAGGAAGACTGTGGCAGTCCCAGCAACACTGTGCTGCTTCTTTTATAATGTTGCCTTCAGCTTTATACCTAGAAGCTACACTAAACTGCCTGCCTGAGTGCTTGTTCGCCAAATTCATTAGTTTATTTAGTTACAGCTGGAGAAACTTTATTAGAAGCTTTGTCCAAACACAAAGAGCTTCGGTTTCACTTGATCCTTGAACTCGTAAAAGTCACAAACGTGTTTTGAACTTTAAAGAAATGCATTTAAAATGATGCAAATGCCATTTAAACCATTCACATTTTTAAATCGTGCATTAAATGATCTTATAATGAGAAATCTTGAAAGCAGATATTTTTTTAGGGACCTATAGTTGAACCTAATGTAGTTTTGTCTAGTAATACCAAAGATGAAAGCCTTCAATTAGTGCACAGTCTAATCAGTAAACCTTTGTCTACAGGTGTTTTTTTTAAGCAGGGATTTTACACTTTCATGATAAGAAAAAAAAAAATGGGCGGATTGATCCAAATATTTATAAGATCGATACCAGCACTGGTAAAGGTATTGGATCAATACTAGCACAATACTTTGTTTCTATCCTCTAGAGACGATTTCCATTAGCATCTACTTCTACTTGGATCGACTCGCCACGACTGGTTTTCCGTTATAATCTAGTACTACCTCATGTGCGTGGTTGTCATCATGGCAGTCCTGCTGAGCATCCTGTGATGTATGCAACACAAACGCTACAACAAAGTTGGACGTAGAGATATACCTGCTGCTCGCTCTGTGGCTTTTCGTCAGACTCGGAGGACCACAGTTTTTATTTTCATGAACGAGACGCTCTCATGACTCATCAAGTGACGTCATTGACCAGCCAATCAGTGGCATGCAGTCTGGCAATCTCACATTGTAGTACCTGCTTGAATCGCTTGGAACCCCGGATTGTGAAGGTACTAAAAAGTACCTGATACCAGGTACTGTGACCTAACGGAAAATCCTTAAAACCGCGGCGAACCGTGCAGAGTCGATCCGAGTAGGTACTAATAGAAAAGGGGCTTAAGTTCTGTAGGTAGCCAGATGAACTGTAATAAATTGATAATTTGGGGGGAAATTAAAACTATACCTCAAACATGCACTGTGGAAAAAAATGTCTGAACCTTTTTGTGTTTACTGTCACTATTTTATTTAAAGCCAATAGCAAATTTAAACAACAGATGCCGACCCAAAGTGCTTCAGAGGCGGGCACATTTACATTCCAGGTCTCCAAAAAATCCAGTTTTAAAATACATGAAAAGATGAAAGGTGTGGTTTTTTTGTGTGTTCTTGTGTAAATAAAAATCATAAATATGTAAGTAAAAAAATCTTATCATAAAAAATATTTACTGATGTTCAAATATTAATATTAATGTAAACACAGCAAAATATAAATAAAATGTATTTTATTTTTCTTTAAAAGCTTCGCCAATTTGCAAATTCCAAACACAGAGCTTCCAGGAAAATGTAATTAGTTCTATGGTAAATGGTCTGTATTTGTATAGCGCTTTACTTGGTCCTAAGGACCCCAAAGCACTTTACACTATACACAATCATCCACCCATTCACACACACATTCACACACTGGTGATGGCAAGCTACAGTGTAGCCAGCCGCCCTGGGCCGCACTGACAGAGGCGAGGCTGCTGGACACTGGCGCCATCGGGTTCTACGCGTTTTTAGAGAGGATGTCAAGTATTCGCGAGTGGTTGTGGTCCATAACCGCCGTTGACTGTACTGTACTAATGTATCTGATGCCAAAGCAACGTACAACCTTAACCATTTTAAGACGCTGGCCAATCAGAAGAAATCAAACAATTACACAGAGGACAGTCTGACGTCAAAAAGGCGATAAAGTAGTGCACCGTTGACGTTGCGAGACCCACTGTGAATGCAGGAATTTTTTAAAAAGCTCCATCTTCCATGCCCTAAAATGCCGTTTACATGTGAAGTAAAGGCCAAAACGTATAGAAAATGCTGTGTTTAGGGGCTTGAAATTGTTTAGACTGGATTAGTTTGAGTTTGATGTTCATAATAACCGGCCAATAAAAAGCAGATCTCAGTGTATTGGTTAAATCATGATTCAAGAGCATTATACAATCATTTCAACACAGTCTCACGGTAGTATGTGAAGTAGTCACAGCCTCTGATCTACTGATTTGAGTGTCAAGACGTGAATTTCCCACCCTATTTTAATGTCCTTGAACACAAATTAGTTTTTATCTCTCGTCTGTACTGATTCATATCCACGGTGGTGTAGCAGGTCACGCTAGAGACCCAAGTCCTGCATGTCATAGATTTATATTACTTTTAACTTGTTTTTAATTTTAAAGGGCTTAGATTTAACAACAACTGATTACATTCAGCCACTGAAACTTCCTCATGTCTGGCATTGAAGCTAAACTCGAGTTTGGCGCTGTTTAATTGATGTCAGCTGACATAATTGACTCATTTGATTGGCCGATTATCTCTGCTTACTTGCTTCTATGCATTTTTATTGCAGGTAGGATTTGATTAATGTGGGTTTTGGCTCGTCTGGACAGAAACATCAGCAATCTGTCAGCACACTGCAATCCTGTATGTAATGCATTACAGTGTAATGAGCTAGATCCAGGCTTTGGAGGGTCAAACTCATGAGGGGACACTGTGGACATAAAATGTAAGATGTGGCGGTGCGACAGGTTAATTGCAGGAAGCATGTCAGGGTGATTTGGGTTCACCAGAAGTCAGAACTGATGTATTTTTAACCTGTGTGAAGAACCCGCTCAAAACAAAGAGGTGACACCTGCAAAAGGAGGCTGTTTATTTTCAAATTCTGGCAGTTTTGTGACCCCACCTTTGAGCTCAATGCAGCTTTAATAGTTCCCAAAAAGAAGAGTAGAGCTTAACTTTATTTTGATCATTTACTTGTGCTAACTGGAAACCTTAAAGCTTCGATCTTAATCTTGTGTACTGTTGGATAGATAAACTGAGCTTTGGGTAAATGTGTGAGTGTTAAACTTTCCCCGCTCTCATCTGAATTTCACAGCAAATTTAGCACTGACTCCCGAGTCATAATGAAAGGACAGCTCATTTACGAAGTTGAAAGTTTTTTTTGATAACTTGCATTATGAAACTAAGGTTTGTCCACAAACAGTCACATCGGGACTCTGACTCGCTCCTGTCTGCCCTGTGTTTTGCAGGCTTCTGCTGCTGCTGTGATGGTGGTGTTGCAGACCCCCCCATGCAGGCCAGATCTTTCTGCAGCTTCTGCACCGACACATGATCTGACTAGGAAGGATGCAAAGGTGGAAGCAGACCGTGCTGGATTCAGTTTCACAGCATCTTACTGGAGCAAACACACACAACATACTGCAAGGTTTTCAGTAGTATCTACTTCCCCCTTTTTTTTCTTTTTTTTTTGTTTGAGAGGACACGGATACACCCTGACTGGGCCCCTGTAGTGCTCTACATTGTGGCTGGGAAGTACCTAGTTTTACAACTGTCATGCTGGCCTGCTTAAAGGGACAGTGCTGATCAATTCGAAGCACATATTGAGGGGTCTTTTAGTCACCCTAACAAGGGGGTCACATGGATGTTTGAGTCGTCACCTGATATGTGAGGAATGTGCAGTCAGAAGAGCTGTTTTCTGCATCAAGCACTGCATAAAAATACTGATTGATATTTGTTAAAAGAATGTCTTTAATAAAAAGTTGAATTGAATGGGGTGTGAGAGTTTCCTGCTTTTGAAAAACGAAAGAGAGAAGACTCACAGCTCTACAGGTTCTTTTTAGTCTGAATGCATAGTGGATTTGTTCTGAACTGTTAATGAAATCCAACCATTCTGAGGTGAAAGGGAATCTGCCATGCAATCATCTCTAAAATCACAAATGTGTGTTTTCCAAGTGTTTTCTGGCACTTCACACTGTTGAATGGTAGGAAAAAGCTGCACACTTTGTCTGAATAAATTTCTCAGCGTTTATGAAGGCAGAGTCCAAAAAGGCGAGTTGAGTGCGCTCATTACATTGATGCCCGTCCTGGGTGTTCTGCATCACTGCCCTCTGTTTACAGCTGCAGAGAGTGAAAGTACTTAATCTGTACATGAACTCTCTGAACTTCACCATGAGGGTCATTTACACACAATGGACACCGGGCACTGTAACAGCACTTACTACGAAATCCTAAACGATACAGACGGAGAACTTCAGGAATTACACGTTGTCCTGCAGAATTCCCAGAAGAGGTAAGGTAAGGTAACTTTATTCATGCCAATAGGTAAGGTAAATTTGCTTTACAGAAAAATGATAGCATCGCAGTTGATTGAGGTCCTGGCCAGAAACAGTTCCTGTGTTAAAGACTTGACACCTAATAGATAACACATCTCCTAATAGTAGTATAAAAAGAGCAAATGCTCATCATCTCTGATGGAGTAAACCCCAAAAATGACACCAAATGGTGCTGCTTCTCCTCTATGGCTGCTTTTAAGTCGGGAGACGTCATTCCTATTAAAAGTAAGAAGCATGAACGGTGCTTTAGGAAAACGCGATAAATGTTGCAGATTGTTGCCACTGTACCATACAAATGCCTATTTCTTTTCCTTTTTAAAAAAAATATTTTGCAAGCTACATGCTTGGTTTGTGCTTACAGGGTAGCAGCAAAGAATGTGTCTGACTCGGTACACCACAGATGATCCATGATAGCTTTGCCTGTTGAATCCACACGACACCACACTTATGAAATTCTGAAGGTTTCTTTTAAACCAGTTTGATAGCGATGGTAAAACTGTGACTCAAAGTCTCTATTTGAACATTTTTTTCCAGTTTAAAGAACGTAGAGTTTACTGAGCACCAATTGTCGAAGCCATGTTTAGATTTCACTCTGCAAGCGATTATTAAACATTACAACCACTCTCACTTTCAGTTTCAGGCTCTTAAGTGGAGCGATAATTATCTGGCTAAATGTGTTTTCAGTCTGTGTGATTGTCTTGCGCTACAAGACAATCATTTTGAACGCTACAAAAAAACCTCAAGGGAAAAGTACTGTCATCAATAACATGCTTAAGAGAAGTAGGACAGACTTTAAACATCTGAATGGGAAGCACCTAGATGTTGGTAAGAAAAGAGTCCTGTACTGTGCAAAAGTCTCGAGATACCTCAATCTTTAAAATATGCTACTAGGAAAATGACAAATTGGTACAGCAGCTTATTGAAACGTGCAAACATGCACATTGTTTTTTCACCTTTATTCTTCAGCACAGCCTGAACTCTCTTAGGCTTTTCTTCTCATTCTTGAAGGACATTCAAAGCTCTTCTTTGGATTTTTCTGCCTTTTGTTCTCAAGTTGATCCCACATTGCTTCAATAATGTTGAGGTCTGGGATCTGGGGAGGCCCAGATGATTGATAGAGCTCCTGTGTGTGTTTTATGCTTGTAACTGCCAGTGTGTTTGGGATCACTGTCATGCTGAACAGTGAAACCACTGCCAACTGGTGGTGGATGGTGAAATGGTGGATCAAAATCTGATGATGCTTCTGTGTTCATAAGCCAATCGATTACGAGATCTCCAACACCACAGCCCCAATCCATGACTTCCCCTCCACCATGCTTTACAGATGGTTATAGATACATTTTCAGATTTGAGTTAGTTACTCAGTAAGACCTGTTAGAATTTGGCATACCTCAGTCTTCTACCACATTTCTTACACTTAGGAATGGCATCTTGACAGCCACCCTACCACTGAGACCATTTATGATGAGTTTTTAGCAAACAGTAGATGGATCAGTACAGTGGCATGGTGGTTAGCCTCACAGCAAGAAGGTCCCGAGTTCAATCCCACCATCAGGTGGGATTGATGATGCTGTTAATCTGCTGTAGATATGTTTTTTAGTTGTGCTACCTATTCCTTTGTTCTCCACTTGTCTAATTTCCTCAACTTTAAGGACAGACTAAACAACATGGCCCATTTTCTCTTTAGGAATGACCTTGTTTGTCAAAAATACTATTTTATGTCTGTCAAACTGCTATTTTTTTGGTATTAGATTCAAGTAAAGAAGCAGTGTGTTTTCTGACAGGCGGCTAGTAACAAAGTTCCTAAAGATAGGGGGGAAAAAAACTGTCTCTTTGCTAAGTTATGCACAGAAAGAACAATGATTCATTACTTGAGTTTTATGGCTTTTTAATGCTTCAATGAGTCATAGGTCAGATATAAGTGGCTTCACAACAACAACAAAAAAAGCATTTCTCTGAAAATGGTCAGGTACAAGGACTGGACTGAAAATGGGTGAAAAGGCAGCAAATGT